ACAAGCCATAGAAGTAGTTGGTTGTCGCGATCACAAGAATCAATGTAGTAATGAGACGCTGGTGGTATTGATAATGATGATGAGGTTGTCGATGATGATGATGACGGATAGGTGGATGGTTAGTTTACTGGATGAAGAAACAATTGAATAAAGGAGTGAACACACGAATGAATGGGTAAAACAAGAAGTTTGAAAAAATAATTAAAATGAATAATTTGATAAAAATGTGAATGATTGAATGAATGAATGAAAGAACGAACGAACGAAGAATGGATGAATGAGTGAATGAATAAATGAATGAATGAATTAATCAATGAATCAATGAATCAATAAATCAATCAATCAACCAACCAGCCAACTCACCAATCAACCTACCAACCAACCAACTTACCAACCAATCAATCAATCAATGTGTGAACGAATGAATGAATGAATAAATAAACGAACGAATAAATGAATAAATAAGTTAATTAAATAATTAATTAATTAATTAATGAACGAAAGAACGAACGAACGAATGAATGAATAAATGAATGAATAAATGAGTGAATGAAGGAAGGAACAAAAAATGAACGAATGAGAGAAAAACGAATGAGTGATTGATGGATTGATGGATGCAGACAGAGTTGAGATAGATCCATGCTTGGCTGGGTGAATAAATAGATAGGCAGATTAATTGATTGATTGATTGACGACAAAGCAAAGGAATGAAATGAAAAATAACATACAAATCAAATAAATAAAATTAAAATAAAAAAAGAGTGAATAACCAAATCAATCAATCTATCAATGATCAAAATATAAATTCGGTAAATAATGGAAATTTATATATATATATATATATATATTTTGTTCATGTATATAAATAAATAAATATAAATATATTAAAATTATATATATATATAACTATATATAACTATATTTAACTATATAAATAAAAATATTCATGAATGAATGAATGAATGAATGAATGAATAAATGAATGAATGAATGAATGAATGAATGAACGAATGAAAGAACGAATGAATGAACGAATGTACAAAGAACGAATGAATGAATGAACGAACGAACGAACGAATGAATGAATGAATGAATGAATGAATGAATGAATGAATGAACGAATGAATGAACGAATGAATGAACGAATGAACAAACGAATGAATGAATGAAAGAACGAACGAACGAAGAATGAATGAATGAATGAACGAATGAATGAACGAATGAATGAACGAATGAACGAACGAATGAATGAATGAATGAATGAATGAATGAATGAATGAATGAATGAATGAATGAATGAATGAATGAATGAATGAATGAATGAATGAATGAATGAATAAATGAATGAATGAATGAATGAATGAATGAATGAATGAATGAATGAATGAATGAATGAATGAATGAATGAATGAATGAATGAATGAATGAATGAATGAATGAATGAATGAATGAATGAATGAATGAATGAATGAATGAATGAATGAATGAATGAATGAATGAATGAATGAATGAATGAATGAATGAATGAATGAATGAATGAATGAATGAATGAATGAATGAATGAATGAATGAATGAATGAATGAATGAATGAACAATTGAACGAACGAACGAATGAATGAATGAAAGAACGAACGAACGAAGAATGAATGAATGAATGAACGAAGAATGAATGAATGAATGAATGAATGAATGAATGAATGAATGAATGAATGAATTAATGAATGAATGAATGAACGAACGAATGAATGAATGAAAGAACGAACGAACGAAGAATGAATGAATTAATGAATGAATGAACGAAAAGAAAGATATCCGAAACAAATGAGTAAATAGACCGCCGGCAATATTACTTGCATGATAACCAAATATCATTCCGGATTTTATCCATAGGTAAGCAAATAATTTAATGAAAGCCCGAGTGGGTGAACGGATGAAAGAATGAATGAATGAATGAAAAAGTGAGTGAGGGAGTGAGTGAATGAATGGATGGATGGACGGACGGATGGATGAATAAATAGATGAATAAATAGATGGATGCATGAATGAATGAATGGATAAACGAATAAATAAATAAATGGATGGATTAATGAAAGAATGAATGGATAAATGATTGGATGAGTGTGTGAATGGATGGATGGAAAGGTGAATATTGAATGAATAAATGGATGAACAAACAAATGAACGATTGAATGAATGAAATAATAAATGGATGGATGGATGGATAGATGAATGAATAAATGAACTATCAAAATGGTAAACTGAAAAATGGCCACTTTACTATGTTATATGACAGGGGTAGGCAAATTTTTTGCTGTGAGGGCCGCATTGAAAACTATTTTACCATTGAAGGGCCGCATATGTACTTAAATAGCAAAGTTTTTCGACCCGGGAGAGAATTTTTTAGGATTTGTGATCCCTTTTTTAGTCATAATGTCTGGCTAACGAGCTTTTTAGATGCGGCCCACGGACCGTAGTTCGCCCTGAGGTACGCTGGGTCAGATACTGATGGTGAAGAACACTTGCTGGCGTCAAAGATGAAGTGTTTTACTGTTAAGGATTTGTCTGAATGTAGGGAGATGCTGCTGAATGACACTGAAAATCTCTCAATCGAATTACCGGAACGTACATTCCGTACCACGTAACAGGGTTTTGTCGACTCCATTAAAGTTTTCAAATTTATTTGGGATAATAAACTAACTTCTAAATTGCCACGTTATGCGGCAGTAAATTTAAAAGATAATAATGTGTGAAACAATGATTTCGGACTTGGAAAATGAAAAAATTTCAAAAAAAATTGGACCGGAATTACTAGAGAGGATCAAAAACGAAGCTGACATCCCAAAGAAACAAATTTGAACGACCTAGCAAACGAAGCTAGAAGTAAACCCGCTGTGGATGATTGCGATAAAAGTGAATCTAACAATTTAAAAATTAAATAAAAGTGAACCTAACAATATAACTGATGCTGATGGTTTCACTAGAATAAGGATATACTAAACTAAACCGTTGTCAAGTTATATATTATTGGGTTCGCAGAGACTCGAGACAGAGACTCGCAGAGGCTTGCAAGTTAATGCTAGCAACAATTCGTCTCGATTCAGAAAAAATTATCTGACGTTGGTAATATCACAAGGTGTTAAGCTACTGGTTTGATGTGATTGGATATCTTAACTTAAAAAATTAGAACAATTAATGTTGGAACGGTTTCATGCTGTTTTAAGTTTAATTTGAAAGGATGGGTGATGGTGTCAAGTTGAAAGACCTGCTTTTAGATTATGTATCAATGTTGAATATGTGAGATTGCTCACTGAAGATAGTTCGGGGCCTGAAAGAGGTGCTCGGATCAGAGACGGGTTGTTCATCAATGAGGAAAACACGAGGTAAATCTTAATCATTATTAAAAATGTTGAAACTTCTTATTGATACTTTGTGTATAATTGTTTTCACTTTACATGTTCATTAAAAAAGCGTTTGATTGATGTTTGGTGAGGCAGTTGTTGTTTATTTTCTCAAACTCTTGCATGAACTGTTTTCTAAGCCTCAGACTCTAAGGATATATTTTGGCAAATCAACTTGAACTGTTGTTTCTTTTTGGCCAGGTTTAAACTTGGTTGAAGGAACTGCTTTTTTTTCAGTACCCTTTTCATGAACTTTTTAACTTTCATGGATAAACCTGTTTAAAAAATGAATGAATAAATAGATGGATGGATGGATAGATGGATGGATGGATGGATGCATGGATGGATGGATGGATGGATGGATGGATGGATGGATAGATAAATGAATGGATGAATGAATAGATTAACTGACTGATTGATTGATTGATTGATTAATTGGCGTCTAGGTTGACAGCGAAATAAACAAAATGATGAATTGTAAAAAAAAGAATGTTTAAATAAAAGATTATAGAAAAAATTTAATTTATTTTTTTTAATTCAAATTTCTAAATATAAATTCTTTTCAAGACATTTCTTCTACAATTTTTTTCTGTAAAATGTATTTCAAGTCTTTTGTCAAAGATAACAAAGTATTAATGTTATATGAATGATTGGATGAATGAATGAATGGATGAATGAACGAACGAACGAACGAACGAATGAACGAACGAACGAATGAATGAATGAACGAATGAATGAACGAATGAATGAATGAACGAATGAATAAAGGATTGGAGAAAACACAGACAAATGGATAAACGTCCGAATGAAGAATTAGTTAAATGGATGGGTAGATGAATGAATGAATAAATAAATAAACGAATGAATGAACGATTGAATGAATGAATGAATGAACGAACAAATAAATATACGGATGTATTAACGAATGGACAAACATAGGAACGAACGGATGAATTGTTGAAAAAAAATATGAATGAATAAAAAAAATTTAAAAAATAAGGAAAGTATTTTTTTCTTAAAAATGGAAAAAAAAGAAAAAGATATAAATACAAAGAGATAGAAAGATGGAGGAAACATCCATTGGGTGAGACTAATTTAATTTGCAATGCAAGCGCCTAATGACTTTGA